GCAGAGCCTCCTCCAAAAGCCGAGCCCGGCTCTGGACCTCCTCCTGTTTGGCCAGGATCTGAGGCACAGCTCCCCTGATAGCCTCCACCTGTTGCTGGTAATCTGCTTTGTGCACCTTCCATTGCTTCTTGGCTTCTTCCATTTCTTTCTCTGCAAGAGATCACAATCTGTTTTTGAGCCTGAAATAGCTCAGGAGAATCCAGATGTCAGCTGGGGTTTTCAAACTACCCATAACCAAGAAGATACATAGATGGAAAATAACATTCTGAAATAAGATTCGGCTTATTGAGGCCTGTCATGGTAGTTCCATATAATTTCTAGTAACAGAAGCAGCACATTTCTCAGTTTGCTGGGTGGGATGTTAGTGTGCTCTTGACTGCTTGGGAGGTCACAAAAGAATAGGACTGGCCAGAAAAGAATCAAAATGTTGAACGAGAAAGGCCTGTGGTCTGATCCAGAATGGATCGTTCTCATAGACATGTGTTGTGGCCCGGCAGGAGCCGTTAGAGCTGCCGCCAGTCTCCGACAGCGAGGGGGCTTATGAGTTGGCCTCGGAGGAGGTGGAGGACCCTGGACAGGGTGTTGACTCCGAGCAGGGCAAGAGACTGGTTGGCCACCAGGTGGCGGCAGAGCATTGGATCAAAGGGAATGTTCCTGAAAGTATTCGGGAGTAGTATCAAGAGGCAAGCAGGCTTAGGTCTACTCAGCGTAAAGGACAAAGGAGGAAATACAGGAGATGATTGCGAGCAGCTGTTGCTCATTGGGATCCTCCCTGAGTATAAAGAGACTGCTGGTGCCATACCCTGGTTGCAGAAGTCAATGTTCACGTTCATGAAGAGACTTAAACCAACTTTGAGAAGTGGGAAGCCTGTTTGCATTGCCTAGGTTTGTGAGACTTAAACCAACTTTGAGAAGTGGGAAGCCTGTTTGCATTGCCTAGGTTTGTGAGATTTGAACCAACTTGGAGAAGTGGGAAGCCTGTTTGCATTGTCTAGGTTTGTGAGGCTTACTGCCAGCGTGCATATCCGTGTTTATTTTGGGCTCGCAGCCAGCAAGAGCCGGGATTGATAAAAAAAAACATTCCTTTGAACGTTCTGTTTGGCTTTCGTTTCTGAACGGACAAGGTGGGGGTCAGAACAATGGGGTATTGCCAAAATGGTGTTCCCAATAAATGACTGGATTTCTTTTGAAACTTGGCTTGATACTCATGAATTAATTAGAGCATCTTTCGGAAACCTGACATATGTCTTAAATACTAAGATGCCCCTAGATTTTCATCAGATTTTCAATTGCCCTGAGTAGCAGGCTCAGAGGGTTGGAGGAGCTGTTTGGAAGAGGAGGTGGGGGATGCTTGTGCCCTTCCAGTTATGGACACCTATATTTTGACATTACTTAATTCTGGAAGTTATATAGAAAGCTCTACTGATAATTAGTATATTTCTGTTTAGCATAATGCAGCCTATTGTATTCCTAAAAATGTTATATAATCAAGTAAGGAAACATACTATGGACACAGAATAATACCACCTTTTTTTAAAAAAAAATAGGTAGAAAACGAGAGGAAACGATACAATATTCAGATTTCACGTGTAACAGAAGAACTTACTGCACTTCAGATGGTAAGTTGTACATTTCGCCTAAGTTGCTTACTGCCTAAAGTAGCCCTGAGGCAAGATAGGCAGCAAATAAATTTAACAAATAAATAGAAGTTTACATTCTTGTCTTTTCCTCCTATGTTGACTTTCACTTAGGAAAAATAAGCATTTTAAAATTTGGCGCGGTACAAAGCAACAACCAGTTTCACTACTTTAGTTTGTCCAGGCAAAAATTTTCCATTTCTAAGAATTCACAATTTCTTTAAATGTAATGATAAAAATACTTTTTCATGTGGGATGCTACTAATTGGAACAGAAAATACAAAACAGATAATATACCTTACTTGTTAAAACTTCTGGATAAAATAAACACAGTATTAAGCTTTGGTAATTTGTAAAACAATATACGGGTTACAAATGTTTTGTTCAAGTAGCATATTTAACATATCTTATTCATTTTTTAAAAGAGAAATAGAGATACATGATGGTTCTAGACTTTATCTTTAGGAATTGATATTGGAGATATGGAAGAGGTCTAAATTCCTCTTGCTGAATGTGATTTGAAGTAAATTACTCTGAAATATAATTTGAAAAATTACAAAGTCACCTAACTTAATCCTGTATTACTTCAGTGCAGATCTTTCTCAATCTAGAAACGGGTTAAAGGTAACTGAAAGTAAAGAAAAGTTACAGTGAATGGAATTTTTGGCAATTTCATAGATCATAAATTAAATACATATTCATACTTAAGGACAGGCTTCATTATTTATCCCAATTTTGTTTGCTACTTACAATGTCACTTACTGATTTCCACAAAATATGTATTCTGTTATTGCTTTATAGGAATGTGGAGAAAAACAAAGCCAACTAGAGCGAGCTATTAGAGAAAAGCAAGCAGTTGAAGAAGAACTAGAGAAGGTAAAATCTCTTCTCCCCACCACCACTTTTCATGCATTAATGCTGTAATGTACATGCTAATAAGTAAATAATTTTTACAGTGTACAAAATATTAGCCTTGGTCAGATGAGACAGACTGGAAAGGATCAAAGTATTCGCCTCATGCTGTCATGAAAAGAGTGTTTGGCATTGCACTAGCAAAAGTTGACTTAATGGCTTGTAATGCTGTTCAGTATTTTTTTAACCAAATAACTTCATCTGAAACAAAAACAAATATTGCCTGTGAGTCATAAAACTCATGGAAGTTTTGTGCAAGCTAGAATAGCTAAAATTCACTTACATCAAACTCACTTAAATCAGTAAAAAAGATCTAAGAAAGGAAGATCTGTGAAAAGAACAAATCATCAGTTCTCACACTATAACAGTTTTAATTAAAGCAATTATACTAATAGTAAGATAATGAACACAATACAAATTGTCAGTGGAAAGCCTGATAAAACAGGGTAGGTTGTTTTTTTTAACAACCAAAATCCTTATAGCAACTAAAGTTATGATAGTGTTAAACAAGTGATGGTTACAACTGGTCTTCAAAGTTTTGGCCATCCCAGCCAGAATCACCTGTGTGCTATCTTGGTGTTTGGGAACCAGCTCGCACTTATGAAGCTTGCAGCATCCTATGGTCATGTGATCTCAGTTTGTAACCTCCTCTGCCAACTTTCTACAAGCAAAGTCAATGGGGAAGCCAGTAAGGAAGGTTGCAAGTCACTTGCGTAAGTCTCTTCCTACAATGCACCCTTTCCCAGCCCCTCTGCATTCATGCCATATCTTACCTTTCTGTGCTTAGTCACACCTTCACCATATCTCCCCACCATTTGCATACCTTCTTCCACCAGCATTAGCCACCTCGAGCCACATATGTGTGTTGCCACCATGCCATCTACACACCTTCCTTGTGCCCCTCTGCCTTCAGGCTGTGCCTTTCTCGCCACCTACACCCCCTGCTATACTCTTCCCCAGGCGTTGCTGAACTTGCACCTTACCTTCCCACATTTTGTGCCCCCCTCCACCTGGCACCAGCCAGCCCAAATCCTGCTGGCATGTACCATATCTTCCCATCAGCCACTTTTCATGATCCTTGCATTTGTGCCTCTTTGCCACTTGTGCACCCTCCCTGGCCACTTGTGCACCATTGCATGTCCTCCACCCCCAGCAGTAATCACCCCAAGCTCTGCCGCACTTGCACTGCATTGCGCCTCCCTGCTTATCTGTCATCCTTCTTAGTCTCATGTTCATGCCAGTCTTCACCTTCCACTTATATGCTTGCCTGCTAACAGTTACCCCAAGCCCTGCCACACTTTTACTGTGCCTTCCCCAAACCCACACACCCCTTTGCTTTCTTTCCCATCCTATAGCAGTCATTTGCCTCCCTGCAGTCTTCCCCACTGATTTTGTTTGGAAGCTGATAGGAACTTGAGAAAATGTTCACTTAACGACTCCCAGATCTTGTTTAACAGTGACAATGGGGACTGCAGAGATTGCCAAGCAATGTGGTTAGATTATATTGCGTTTTATGGCTGCATTGCTTAGTGACAAAAATTTCGATCCCGCTCACCACTCATAACTCGTCCACCTATAGAATGTTTGTCTGGTGGACAATAACAGAATTTTCTCCTGATGTGATAGTCATAATGAAATGATTATCTGCTTTCTAAGTTTTGCACAGCAATTGATTTGTCAAAGCAGGGATTTTACTGGAACATTGGAATCATATCCTGGTTTAAATTCATCTGTTAGGTGTATCGTGAAGGTAGAGGAAACGAAGCTGATTATAGAAAACTAGAAGAGCTTTACCAGAGATGTCTGAATGCTGAACGTATAAAAGATGATCTCCATCTTAGTTTGCAAACAGCACAAAACAAAATTAAGCAACTGGAACTGAAGTAAGTACCGTATATACTCGAGTATAAGCCGAGTTTTTCAGCCCACTTTTTGGGCTGAAAAAAGCCACCTCGGCTTATACTAGAGTCTACAACAGGATCCGGCAGTGCTGTTGCCTGTTGGAGGAGGAGGGGATTCCTTCCTGCGAGACCCCGTCCAGAAAAATGCGGGGAGCGGCATTTGTGGGAACTCCGGCCGCTGCCCACCCGTGGGGAGAGAGGGAAGAGCCCCGAGCGAGCCGCCTCGGTTTGGCAACCAAACCCATCCAGCCTTTTACCTCCCGTCCCCCCGCCCGCCCGCTCGCAGCCCCCTCCCCGGGCTGGTGCCAACTCCTCCCCGTGCCCGGCCTCCAGCCGAGGCAAGTCGGTGTCTCTTTAAGCTAGAGAGAGGAGGGGAGGGAAGGCAGGGACCAGCCGGCTGACAATGGGCCGGAGCGGCTGAGTTGGAGCAAATTCCACGGCAAATTTTAAAGATGCAAGCAACATAGTTATAGTCATAAGTCGGAAGAGATAGGTACTAGAAAGGAAGAGAATAATAATAGTAATACAGTCTTAGTAGATAATTTTACAGTGTTGTCGGGATTAGTTATTTAACAGAGTGATGGCATTTGGGGAAAAAACTGTCCTTTTGTCTAGTTGTTGTGGTGTGCAGTGCCCTATAGTGTGATTTGAAGGCAGAAGTTGAAATAATTTATGTCCAGGATGTGAGAGGTCTGTAGTTATTTTCACAGCCCTCTTTTTGACTCGTGCAAAATACAGGTCTTCAGTGGAAGGCAGGTTGGTAGCAGTTCTAACTATCCATTGAAGTCTTTGTCTGTTTTGTTTGGTTGCAAAGCCAAACCAGACAGTTATAGAGGTGCAGATGACAGATTCAATAATTCCTCTGTATCTGTAATATCTAAACCTATGACTAGGTTTAGATATGGCACTGGTAATTGTCAACATGTTTTTACAGTTTTATTAATATATGCTCTTTTAAATCTCTAAAACTAACTATGCAATTTGTATTGGACTATAGTAGCATAGACACACATTAAATATATTTATGTTCAGTGCTTGATATGGGTTGCGTAAAATATTTCTGATTTTACTGAGTAAAAAAAAGGAAACAAAATGCCAAATATTACTATATTTGATGTAGTCTAAAGTCCACGTGTGATTCCAAGACATGTTTTAAACTGACTATACAAAGTGTAATTCACTTTAAGATGTGAAGAAGAGAAATGCCGTTGCCAAGAAAATATGTGCAAACTGCAAAGTATTCTTCATTCTGAAAGGGAGAAATGTGGAGCTATAAGTGAAGAGCGCTTAAAGCTGCAACAAGGGAATGAACAGCTTCAAAAAGAAATGGAAAACTTGAAAAAGCTGACAATGGAGGCACAACATTCTGCAAAATTAAAGGTAATCTTAATACTCTTGTAGAATTGTAAGGGACCTTGGAGGTCTTCTAGTCCAACCCCCTGCCTAGGCAGAAACCCTATACCGTTTCAGACAAATGGCTATACAACATCATCTTAAATATTTCCAGTGTTGGGGCATTTACAATTTCTGAAGGCAAGCTGTCCCACTGATTAATTGTTCTAATTGTCAGGAAATTTCTCCTCAGTTCTAA